CCCTCTGGAACGAGCTGCCCCCAGAGATCCGGGTGATTCCGGATCTCCCCTCCTTCCGCCGCGCCCTCAAGACTTGGTTATTTCAGCGGGCAGGACTGGCCTAGGGGTATTTTAATTGGTTTTAACAAAATTTTAGTAGAAGCGGCCTATTCAAATATTTATTTTTAATCATTTTTAAATTTTGTATGGTATTGTATTACTGTTTTTAAACTGGCTGTAAGACGCCCTGAGTCCTCCGGGAGAAGGGCGGGGTATAAATTTAATAAAATGAAAAAAAATGAAAATGAAATGAATTAATTATTAGTGACATGTGCTTGTTCTGGCTCTTCCCAAAATAACAAAGCATCTAAAATCAATCAATTAGGGTCAGTTTTCTAAATGAACCAAAGGCATAAAGTGCCATAATCACTCTAGCAAGGAATGCAATGGAGCCTTTTCATCATTTAATTAGTAGGAGATATATTGATCGTGGTTCAGAAATCAGGGGGAGAAATTATCAGCCTCTTAGAGAGTCTGTGCTCAAGATTTAGCAACCTTCTTTAGCATCTTCACTCCCAGTTGTAAGCAAGCTCATTTAGGACACAACGGAGTTTTCCCTGCCACGGTGAATATTAAAGCAGCCTAGCATAATTGAGAAACTGATATGATCATCAAATCAGCTCCTGCATGATTCTGCTAGAGTTAGATGATGCTGGGGGCAGGGGTGTGCATGGGAGTTTAGCTAGACATAACAATACTGGACCTAGTGTGTGAACCAAGGTTATTGAAAGAAAAGAGGATAAAAGAATTGGCGGGCTGGAGAACTGGAGGGAAAGCCTGCATTTCAAACTAATTGGAGAATGTGATTTATGACTGTTAACTGGAGGAGGGAATTGTGCTTTGATACTATGTGCTCAGGGGAGGGGAATCCAGTTTTTGGCTTCGACTGTATTCGTGCTGACGCTATGCTTCTCAAGTGAAGATTCTTTAAGGCAAACAATGCCTCGAAGTTCTTTGAAGAGTTTCATCTGTCGGAACCATGACACTGAGACTTTATGGGTACCTGAAAAAAGGTCAACCGTGTCACCAAGTCGGTCACGTAACTCCCCAGGGGTTTGAGTGATGGGTAGGATTTGGCTGCCCACATGGCTGGCACTTTGCCCACGATCATGCTGTTGAAAACATCCTCCAGTTCCGAAGACATCAACACCAGGCCTTTGATGGCTTTGCCTAGGCTGATCAGACTGCTCCGGACGACCTCCGTAAGCCTGACAGAAACAAAATATCCCCAAATGAGACCACCACTCCGTATCTTAAAGTAGGTTGGGAATAGGGAAAGAAGAAAGCCGGAACTAGTTGAGGTTCTTGTTATTTTGCCTGCTCGCTCGCCTGGAAAGGCAAAGAAGTTGTAATGAAAAGGCAGGGAAAGGAGGAAAGGAGCGTAGGTCTTCAGCTTGATGAGGTGTGGAGCTTGAAGACGTACGGGCTTCAGTTCCCAGAATTCCCCAGACCACAATTACACATGCATATATGCTGGTCATCTGAAAAGTCTTAAGACCACCTCCTGACACCCTCCAGCTTATGAAGGTACACAGTCCAAAATTTTACCTGTTAAACCTGATCAGCTCCTGCCTGAGAACCGTGTTCATGGATTCCTCATACAGCACTGGGTACAATTTCATCACGTGTTCGAGATCAAAATCATTGGGTAGCTTGGAGAGAACATCTTGAGCCAATTCTTCAACTGTTTCCTAAAACGAGGAAACGGAATCATGGAGAAGTGAAATCGCTGCAAAATAGCGAAGGCTTTGACCGTTTTCATTTCTATTTTACGTATCTTCGCATCGGTTATTTTTCAGAGTTTTGTGGCAAAAGTTTACGTCAATTTTTGGAGCATTAATTAACCCTCTAGATTGCTTTTCTGGGGAGACCTCCAGGTGGGAACCTTCCACTCCTGCCTCTATTTTTCTCTACATATTCATTCGGACTGCCTGTCCTGGAAAGTTAAGGCCAGAGCTAATTTACAGCTGTGTCTGTTTTACAATATTCGTACCTGGGGTGATTTCCCTCCTCCTCCAGCCTCTCGAGGGAGGGTCAACAAGACCCCGTTGAAAAGCAGGTTGGTCTCCTGGTTATCCTTCGTAATGTCGGCATTCTCGTGAAGGCCAAATATTTCAGGATGGGTTGAAATGGGCAGCGTTCTCAAATAATCGATGTAAGACTACGACAAAACAAGGCAGATCCAAAGCTGAGCATTCGGACATCCGTATATTTTGTCAAGGGCATTAAGAGCAGGTTTGGTAGATTGTCAGAAGATATTTTTATATAATAGATGGCACACACACACCCTGCCACATATTAAAAACATTTCAGAAGCTATAGAATGCAACTACCAAGATCTGTAAATGGGCATCATCCACCACCCGGAGGTTTCCACGCGAGGACAAATCACGCACTACAAAGTTTGGTTGGGAGAATGTGAATGAACAATTAAGACGAGGGGGACCTGAACTCATTGGTAGCCTCACGTTACAATGAACAAGGACACACATTCAATTTTGCAGCTACTAAGATTGTTGGCCAAGCAGGGACAAAAACAGCCAGAGAAAAGATTGAAGCCTGAGATATGAGCTCTTGTCAAACAATAGGAGTATTGATTTACCGTCTGCCTATCGGGTGTTTAACAGCTGAGGGCCAGGCAGCATAAGGAATCAACAATGAGTGAATAGCTAGCCATCAACACCCTAATTAACAACATAAAGATACTCACAACCAGGAACCATATAAATACAATGCGTAGAACAACTCAGTGCACATATTCTGAGAGAGAAAAGTTTCCTGATGAGCTCAAAAGTGACTTTGGGTCCTGGTGACCGACTTGGATTGGATCCTGCAGTACTTTTTTAAAATCACGGTCCCTAATTGATGTAGGTGATGATCTTCATACCATTCAACCTCATCTTTTTCTTACCTGGTATGTCCCGAAGGGTGGTATATAATATTCCCCTCCTGGAGAAAGTTTATAGCATTCCTGCGTTTCAATTTCTTGGCAATAGACGATGGAGAGAAGCGACAGGAGGAGACGTCTGTCCTTGTCATCTGTCACTCTTCCTCCATAATTACATTCCCCTGGAAACAGAAAAGTTACATCAGAAGAGCAAAAGATGAGAAGATTTACACCTACGGGACACACACGGTTGTCCTCTGGAAGGCACCGGGAATGGAAGAATACAAAATAGGCGGGAGGTCTCTCTTGACATGCATTTCTACAGCTGGTGTCATGTCCTTGACTTACAACATAACTGGGACCAGAATTCCCACTGATAAGCAAGGTGGCTGAGAGTGGTGGTTAAGCGAATCACGCAGTCCTTAAGCGAAGCCAGCTTCCCTCACTGACATTGCTTGTCAGAAGCTGGCTGGGGAAGTTGCAAAATGGTGATCACATGACCCCAGGACTCATTGCAAGTTCAAACCACCACTAAACAAATGGTTGTTAAGTCCAGGACTACCTGTACATCATAAACCACAATTTGTTTTACTCGTTATGGGTTAAACGAACATTAGTAGCCTGGCATTTAACAATGCTAAACCATGGGCTTTTTTTTACTAACCTGGGTAAGAATCTACCCCAGCAGATCTGGACAAGACACTAACTTGCAAACGGTTTAAAATGACTGGGGTACCTATTTTATTTTTCACCGCTGAACTAGGGAGAGAAAAAGCTATTCTCATCCCTGTAATTTTAAACCATAGTTTTGCATTACGTGAAAGTCCTGATGGTTTGGACAGGGCTCACCCACTGGGCTCAACTTCATGTGAATTAATATGATTTCGATTTGGCCCAGTAGCAAGTACCTGCCATTGTTTTTAATCAACCTTAGCCGATGGCTTAACATTCATGCGAATGCATCCATTGCAGCTTGTTTAATAAACCACGGGCACAACAGATCGGGTCTTAACCGTCATGTGCAAACCAAGTCACAGGGTAGGCCCTGTACCTGTAAGATAAGTTAGAGCTTCGAATGGAGTTTCTTCATATTCGTTCAGAAACATCTGAATTTGCCTCAAGCTGATTCTAAGATCAGATTCGTTGAATTCATACGGAATATTCCAACCTGTCCAGTTCAGGAGAAGA